TGATTTGTGGGTGTGACAGCTGGAGGGGGGAGCGGCTTGTGACCATGTTTTACTGGTGAATACTTGGGAATGAATGCAATTTATAGGTTGTGTGTGTGTGTGTGTGTGTGTGTGTGTGTGGTCATTTGGAGTGAAACTGTGTGTGAACTTGGGTGTGGGAAATGATGGTTGTGTGAATATGGGTGACAGGGTGATCCCTAGGCCAGTGATTGTGAGTTGTGGGTATAAACGTGTGTTTGTGAGGCTGACTTGGAGAAAAATTCTTCGTGAGTCTCCGGGTGACCCTTTGAGGGGTGTGTTTGTAATTTGGAGGTGTAAATAGAATTGAATAATTCTGAGGGTAATGGTGAGTGGGCGAGTATGGGAAGGGGCTAATCGGGGACTCAGAGTTCTCTTTTCGCGTTTCCCCCAAGTGGCGTCAACCAATTCTTCCTCTGCCCAAATTGGCGCGCACCCACCTTCTCCCCACCCTCCTCTCCCCAGAGCCATGATCAGCACCATGGACAGGGCCCCGGGAGGCCCGCGGTGAGGGGCAAGGCGGGGCGGGACGCAGGGCGGGGCAGGGCGGGACGCAGGGCGGGGCTCTGGCCGGGGCAAGGCCCCGCCTGTCCAAGAGGAGCCTGGGGGCAGGCAGCACCCCGCCGGACGCAGGTGACGGCAGGGGTGGGGGAGCCCCGACGGGCAGGATGCAGAAGCGCGGAGGGAAGCTCAGGGTTCCTCTCACGGAGCCCCAGGTCCCCGAGCCGGAGCGCCGAGCCTCGGGGAGGCCCCGCCCCGGGACGCCGAGGGGGGCTCGGGAGGTGGCGCCCTGGGTGAGCACTCCCGGGGAAGGGGCAGCCGGCCGCCTCCTTCTTCCAAGGTGATCCGCGCCCCGGGCGCGGCGCCGTTCCCCGAGGCGCCTCAGGCGGTCCCAGCGCAGGTTTTCAAGGAGACTAAGGCCGTGGCTGTGCCAAGTGCGGGGGTCAGGCCTCGTGAGCAGGTGCCCGCTCCGCAAGGGCGGGGCCTCTCCTCGCAGACCAGGGCCACAGGGCCACAGAGCAGCACGCCTGCCCCAGGGGGTCCGACGACAGCCACTGGACACCCCAAACCGCCCAAGAGCCAGGAAGGCCTGCGGGCCCCGCCACGAGGCCCCGGCACGCAGCAAACGGCCCCGGGGCCCTGGGCGCCCCAGCCGGGGGTGGCCCGGGAAGGGGGCGCTGGGGCAGCAGGTGCGGCCGTGGAGGCCGGGGCGACGTCCGGACCTGCAGGACCTTTCTGTCTGAGATAAGAAAGTTACAAAGAAAACAGGAGGCCCCACGCCTGTTCCTGGGCGGGCCCCGACCACCAGCGGGGGCCACCAGCACCCCGCTCGCCCCGGGGGCTGGAGACAGACCCCCCCGGGCTTCAGTCCTCGCCTCCCGCACCTCCCCGTTGGACAGCATCGGGGCCGCGGCGTCCAGCAGGAACTCCCCGGAGCCCGTGAAGTCCCGTCCACAGGGACTCGCAGCCCGCTGGGTCCCGCCCTCGCCAGGCCCGGCCTGCTCTGACCCGCTGAGCTCGTGCGCTTGGTCACGTGGAAGCAGCTTGCTGTGGCCGCCACGTTGTCCTGCGTGTGGTGAGGTGGCATCAGATGGGTGGGTGGGTGCCGGGCGGGCGGGTGCGTGGCGGGTGGTGGTGGTGCACGGACGGGCGGTGGATGCAAGCGTGTACGTTTCTGTGTATTCTGACGGCACATTCCTGACGCACGGAGTTCCTCGGGCAAACGTACGAGCTGGTGACTTCCGGAGGCAGACACAGCACCCACTGGGCCCACGTGACTGGGGGGCTTGGGGCGAGAGGCAGGGATGTGGCTGCCTGGGCCTGGGCAGGACAGCTGGGTCGTGGCTGGGCCCGGGTGCTGCGCCACTAATGCCCTTAGGCCCAGCCCCCCCCCCTTCGCCCCCCGTAATGACAGAGCTGGCCGGCGCGGACAGAGGCGACGAGTCTGCCAAACCGGGGTTCAGGGCGAGGCTCACACCGACCTCGCTGCCCTGGGGTCAGCACAGGCCATGGGAGGGGAGCCTCTCGGCGCGGTGGTTGGGGTGCAGCATTGACCCGGTCGGGGGGCCTGTGCGTGCCTGGGGGTGGAGGCCTCCTCCCTGCGCAAGGGCCAGACACAGGCACGTCCAGCACGTGGACACCGCCCTGTGCCCCTGAGCCGCTCGGGGCCTGCACACGCTGCAAAGGGCCACAGGTGACGCCACAGAAACCTGCTGATGCCCCTCTGTCCTTCTAGCCGCTCAGGGCGACCCCGTGGCAGGCCCCATGGCAGGCACAGTCCGGCGGAGGCCGCCGCTGCCCTGAGAGCAGCTGATGCATTTGCGGAAGACAGCCATGGCGCGGGAGGAGCGCGCCCCGAGACAGCCACGGCGCCGGAGGAGCG